TAGCTAAGGGCCATGTCCGAGTAGAAGATATCACTATCTTCTGGACTATCTCCCTCGACACTTTTGCCAATTGTAGAGACGGGATATCTGCTTTGGGTTGTCCGGGAGCACATTTGCGGCAAGCCCACATAATTACTACGGCCTCCAGGGGGCTGTGATTCTCCTAACCCAAGAGCCCCGAAATTGTGTTGATTAGAATAAAGATCATCATAACGCAATCCCCTCATCATGCCGGACAGGTTGTTATGGGGGCCAGAATCCATAACCATTGAACGGTGTATCTCCTACAAAACGTAATTCTAGACCGAGATCAACCCTAAGCACTCGCAAATTATTAATCGTTCCTACAGCATGACAACCACACAGATCCAAGAGAAAAAAAAAAACCTAATTTTTCATCATGTGGGATGCCAAAAACTAAAGCTTGGCGAAATGCTGGGGAACCCAAACACCGGATAGCCACCGCTATCTAAGCTCTAAAAAAATTAGCAGCTACCACAATTTAATTTCGCAGGGAGAGATCCTGAGACTAGTCAACATCTGCAGTCATACTAGTCAGATCAGCGCACTGATCACCAGAAAAAGATCGATAAAAAACAACGCATTCAAAGAACAGGCGAATCGAGTGAGACACAGAAGAAACTAGAAGCGTGAGTTCATTTCTTGCGGCATCAAAAGCCACCACGGACCCCAAGAAGGTAAGTTTACGATCAAGGAAAGCGTGAGACCAGATCGAACAAAGGTTGGCGGGCCCAAATCCGGCAGGAAATCACGAGGAGGAGGGAGGAGGAGGAAAGGCTTACCTTATCGAAACCCTAGTTCGGAGCGGAAGCGAAGGAAAATGAGAGGAGGAGAGAGACGGAAAGAGAGGCCGCGCTCATGACGAACAGTGCGAAGGCCATGCCTTGGCTCTTTGGTCCAACCCCCCTTCCTTGTCGTCTGAGATATGGATTTATTGCTTACCCCTCCGTAACGCCCACCCGTTGGGGTAATTATATATATTGGTAACAAATAATTATTATTATTATTATTAAGACGAATCTTCTGGGGGGGCTGTCCGTATACGTGGGCGCATCAGAGCCGTCCGCTGGCGTTTCACCGCACGATGCCGGTGTCACTCCGAGGAAGGAAACCGTGGTGCGGGGTCCGCTAGGTCGGTGAGAAGTTAAAACGGGTGGGTGGGGGAAAAGGTTAAGCGTTTCTTTTGAAGCGAGCGAGTGCGCGCGCCAGCGGAGCACGTGCGAATCGTCAGGTCACGAAGCCGGCGAGGGGGGCGGGCGCCGGCCACGGGTGCTCGGCTTTTGACGGATACGTGTCCCACGTATATATACTACGGCGGCCCCCACCGCGGAGGTCGCCTCGACACGTGGTCCGGTGTGTGTCACGCGTCGACGCGGGGTCCTGCTGTGGGATACGGGGGATCGCTCGGCGTCACCTGTCGCATCTCCCTCGTTCCGTTACCTTCCCTTGAAAGCGTCGGCCACACAGGTCTTCCCAATAAACACACGGGTACCGAGACGGGTGACTATACCGAACGTAGGGAAACCAATGAATCTCAATCCCCATCCAGTGTCTTCTTGTACTCATACGTATCTAATTAAGCAGCCAACTATGATAGATAACATATGGGAGATAATGTCATGTCAACTATATAGTATGAAATCAACTATATGTCGATAACCTAGTATCATTAAATTAATATATAAGAACATCTAGGTGATCAGCATCGAGATGGCAATCACTTAACATTGATATATGTGACATTTATGTGATGGATACGTAATAGTGAGGTGCTGGTCAATTTATTGTTTTTCTATTCCTCTCAAACCCTAAAATTGGTACAGCAGCAACATGGCTTCTTCATAAACCTAGAAATCAATGTGTACGAACAAGCCACCACATGCTTCTCTCGTCTGCTCTTAATGGTTGTACTACTGCCCATCTTTTGGCTGGTGAATGCCATACTTTATGTCGCTCATGGACAACAGAAGGGGGGTGGAGAGCACTCTCAGGCTGATGAGCATTCTGGTGTGGCTGCTAGAGAGGGTGGCACATGGACGGAGGCAGCATGTGCAGGCGACGACGACGCATCGTTGTCTCAGCTCCGAGACTCGCCTCGATGCACTGCATCTGCTCCCAATAATTAAGCCATCGGTCAAAGCTAGTCGTCCTCTTCCAACGCATCAGGTGGAGCTGTTGCTGTCATCTCCTCCATGGTGACACAAGGACTTGGCATCGAGGACAAGCCAACCGAGGCTTTCATGGCCAGTCTTGTCCACTTGACTATGCGAAAAGGCTTTGGGTGAGATTAGGCTGGTTCTCCTCTTGTCAAAGGAAGCCGAGAAAACTTTGGCAGCAGAAGAAGACTGCCAACTTCTCCAGTCAATATGTAACCTTTGACTGCATTCCTTCCATCATTATATATTCTCTTCCGAGAATAACATTATAAAAGAGTTTGGATATCAGTTCGAGTCATGAAAGAGATCGCCTACCTTTCCTTCTGACTTCCACCTAATCAATATTTAACTCACGCATGGCTTGGAGGAGGAGATACTCATATGGCCTACCTCAAGTCGTTCGATGAGTTCGCAAGGCCTTATTCTGTATGCTTCCCATGTGCCTTCGGCTTCCTTGATAAGGCCGTGGTAGTACATATCACTGCCTACCTATTTTCTTCTCGGGAATATAATATATGCAATATGATTTCATTATATATATCATAATGTACAATGTAGGCGTAAACTTTGTCCGATTCTTCAAGAAGGTCAAATAGTTGACCTCGTGCTTGGTGTGTTGGTGTTGATAGCTGCACAAGCTTTGTACATACTTCTCCATATGTAGAAACAGGAATGCTAATAAAAGAATGCATGTAGACCTGCGTTTTGCTTCGTGCTTGCCGCTTCCACGTCCGTGCGGAGACGAGGAGGTCAACTAAACGTTAATATGATTCACTGGTATTTACTCCTACAAATATATTATTAATTTTCATTGATATAAGTCATTGCTCGTTCCAAGTTCTTAGTGTGGTCCAATAGAAATCCATGGGCTCAACCCATTTAGGTAGAAACTTGGATCCATGAATCTCTAACAAGAGATGGAACTCACTTTCAGTCTTGCATGCAGGTCTTTTAGCTGTAATTGAGCTGCCGAGATGGATGGAGTTCGGTCGACAAGTTGAAGCTCCTGATCTAGTGAGAGGTGGGAAGCTCTCCTCGAACGACCGAGGTCGATGATGCAGATTGTCCCAACCCAGCTTGCCGTCACCGATGGATGATGCCGGCGGCGTCGGAGGATCCAAGCTGATTGCTGATGGTCGTGAACAGTTCTGCATCCCCAAAGCACCTCTCATGGCGGCAGAGACCGCAGAGGCAGGAGAGGAGTCAAACCGGCGGGCGTTCACCATCGCAAGCTTTTCCGGACAAGAAAGCTTGGCCATGTGGGGAGCACGCAAGCTTTGCTTCTGCCAGAGCTGGCACAACTCATGGACACCTGCAGATGCTCTCCGGTCCCTCCCTTGTCCGTCAAGAAAACTCCTCCTTGTTTTGGGAGCTCACATTCTCCTTCCTCCTCCTCCTCCTGCATGATTGGCAACTGTCAAAGCCTGCATCCATAGTAAAGTTACACAAGACGACGCCTCCATGCACGTTAGTGATCCTCCCACAATCCACAGGCTTCGCCTTCCCTACACGTTACAAGATTCCCCATGGCATGTGGTCTGCAGTCCGTCTTAACTCGACTCCAGCTCTAATCTCTAGCTGTCTCGTCTCGCCTCCACAGTCGATATGATGATGTGCTGCAGGTGATCACAATCATATCTGATGGGTCACTAATAACTCTCCTTTGGGTGATTCATCGCCAACATTATACCTATGGACATGATCGTACACGGGAACTCGACACGTGTAAATGAGCAACTTTTATCCTTCACACACACAAGATAAGACACCTTCCGATTCCTTTACACATCTACAAAGCCCACGTGTCGACCGCTGCATCCCGCTTCTTTCTTCTCCACCTGCCCTCATCTTATCAACATTAACGCCCGTCACATCGAGTGATCGAAGTCGCGCCACGTGATACCCCGCTGCCCACGCCGTCAGTCGACTCCGTCGAAACTGACGGCCCATTGACTCCGCCACATAAATTAATTCCTCTATTTTCTTAAACCAAAACGTGAACCAAAAATAGCCATTTTCCACGTGACGTACGCTCATTCCTACGTGGCGGCCACCGACGTGAAATGGCCATAATAGCCCCCTTGGAAGGGGGGGTAGTTTCGTGAATTCGACACGAGATCATGGAAGCGATGGATCGCGATGCACCGTGTCGGTCGCTGATCCGAGTTGCGTCGAACTCAGATTCTATCAGTACGATCGGGATACAAATTGGAATCCTTGTTGTTGCGCCGTGTGGAGCGGAATCTTGGCATCCGGCTTCGCATCTTCCCACATGCTTCCGACCACAAAAAAGAAAAATAAAATAAATAGAATTATGACTCAAATTCCATTATCCGATTGCTGGTTCACAAATACTTGTAGCTCTCAATATTCTACAGACCACCGAGAGAGTGACGGACCGACCTACCCGTTCATGGATTCACCGCACCCGGGTAGGACCCACGCGGTGACGGCTCAACCACCAATAACAAGGCAGGTGGGCGATCGGGAACGGGAAAACGGGTAACCCGGGTATGCTTACCGAAACGAACGGGTCTGGAGCCGGTGGCTTGTCGCGTCCTGGACGCATGAAACCGGAGGATGTGTTGTGCTGCGTCCGTAGCCGTACGATCGGGGGGAACGGGACACGTGGTGGGGATCGGAGACGGTGGGAGGGGTGATGAACCCTCGTGGTTGGTTTGGGCGGAATGGGCAGGGGTGCGTTACCGGAAGGGTCGGTTGCCGGGGTCAAAGGTGTAGGAGCGGGGTTTTAAGGCCAAATGTGGATGGTTTAAAGGGGTTCTGACCATCGATAAAAGCAGAGAGGGGACGAGAGGAGACTTACCTATTTGGAATTGCGAGCGAGAGAGAGAGAAGAGAGAGAGAGAGGGTTTCTTTTCGTTTGGCGAGAGGGATTCTCCGGAGGAGAAGAGGGATTTGGATGCGAATAGCGACCGAGAGAGATCTGGAGCTCCATCTCGTTTCCGGTTTGAATTGAGCCGGAATTTTGGCGATTCGATGGCAATTTGAGATCCTTGCGAGGAAGTCATTCTCATCCTGTTCTAGAAGGTGAGCTGACCGAGTTCTGTTGCATTTCATTTCCAGAAGCTACGATTTCTGCCTATTTTAGCTGACCAAATATGTGAATTTCGCCGGGTTCGCGTCATTCTCGTCGAAATTCGTCGGTTTCTCCTTTCGTTCTCTTGATCCCGTCGGTTTGTTTCGTTGGAGGATTGATCCGAATCTGTTTAAATATAATTTTGGCGTTTCTCCGTTGGAATTCCATCGCCATCCCATCTGTGCCTGCGCAATTCATCTCGAGCCTCGCGATTTTTCTTTTATCATGTTATCTTGTCGAGGGTTTGGATCTGGGACCTGAATTCCTTAAAGATGTACGGGCCTATGCTTGTGGTTTTTGTCTTGATCGCTTCGTTTCAGGGTGTCGTCATTTGTCAAAACTCCTCCTTCCTCGAGATGGGAAAATTCCTTCTTTTTTTTTTTCGTTGTCAACCATTTGCGCTGCTTGAAGGTGTTACTGGAATATGCCTCGTATCCTTCGATCTTAAATGAAATGGGTAAATCTACGATCTGGCAAAGGCGTACCGTTGTCGTATTCCTGATCCTGTTTTTTGTTTTGAATTTCCGCTCCCGTTTAAGCATCGTGGTACGGGAGGTTTTGGGTTTTTGATGCTTGAACACCATTCAATCATTATGTTATTTGTGATGATGCTTTGCTGATGTACGTCGTGGTTTTCCTTTTCGATCCTTTTTGTTTCCCGGTGTCATAATTTTGACATCAGATTGAAGGGGTTCGAACCAGAAAAAGAAGGTACATTATGTTTCTTTATGTGGTGCTTGCCTATGTTTATTTAATCTACGAATCTTTTCGAAAGACTTTCTTCATATAGAACACCAAACCTGTTCCTTCACAATTAACTCTGAAGGTGGAGCGTTTTGCCAAAGGGTTGATTTGACATACCCCTCTCTCCTTTCTCTCTGCTTCCTTCCGTTATGTCATCGTTCTCTCGTTTGGTTAGTCATTTCAGAGAGAGAATCAGCTGTAAAACATGATTTTGATTTCCTACCCTTTGAATTCTAATCGAATTATAGAATATGGATATTTCGCAGCATTGGTTTCATTGGAAAACTATTTTTAGGGAATTTGGATCTTTGGTTGTCAATCTTATAAGCTTACATCTTTTTATGAATTATCTGAAATTTTGGCAGTTCTTCTGAATTCATGGCAGATTGTGGACTCCCTGTTGTTTCTCTTCTGCAGTCGCTCAATTTCATCTTGTTATAAGTCATTGGGATATGGTTTTGCAACGGAGGTTGGATTGCGGATCCAGTGGCTACCATGCCCCTGTGATGCCACACGTTCCAAGATCTGCCAGGGTATATTTGTCATCTCGATTGCTTTCTTCCTTTTGTTGTTATTTTGGCGCCGTGTAACTCGTCATGGTGCGTGCATCCACAGGGAAAGCGTTCGATAAGAAAGAAGGTCGAGGGCAAGCCATTGTGTGCATTTGATTTGCTTGCTACTGTAGCAGGTAAATTGTTATCGGAGAGGGAAAATTCTCTGGCTTCATGTGACAATACTGGAACATCTGACCCTGCTGCAGCAAAGGATACCATTAAACGGGAGCAAATAGACAGTAACGAGAGGTCAATCAAATTTGAAGCGTTTGATTTGCTGAGCTGTAATGAACACCCGAAGTCTTCAAAAGCAACATCGTCAGGACCTACTTCTCCCATTGTAAAGTCAGAGATATCAGATGAGGATGCTGTTGGTGGAGAGTCAAAATTCATCGAAGACAGTCATAAAATTGGATGTGGTGTTGCTGCTGTTGCTGAAAATTTCGACAATGTGAGGATTTCTTCTTGTTCCATGGAATCACATGAATGTAAAGATGGGAGCAAGAAACTACCACAAGGTCAACAGCAAACAGCAGGAAATGCAACAGATGGAAATGCTCTATATCGTTTGGATGGTCTTGTGGACTTGGATGCCAAACATTCTGTTTTAGGTAGCTCTGACAGCAGTGTTGAAGTTCCCCTACACAGGAACAACATTTATCGTAACACTTTGTTACCCAAGCAGGAAGATGGTATGGATCTTGCTGCATGTAATGATGATGACGAAAATTCTTCTGGATGCACTCATCCAACTGTTGTTACTAATAAGACCTCTAGGATGCAGCATATAGGTGACCGTAGGATAAGGAAGCTCTTAGCATCTAAGTTCTGGAGAGTAGCCCCAACGATGTTGCAGGACAGTGAAACATCTAACTATGGTATGTGTAATGCTTTTCATCCCTTCTTTTACTTGATTTCTCTGCAGGCAGAAAGCTTGCACTTATAGTTACATGTCTTGCAGCTTGGTGTTGATTACATTCAGAAAAGATTTCCTTTGTGTTTCAGATGTAGAACAGAAGCATGCTCTACAAGGCAAGAGAATGTGTTATACACGCCAAAGAACGCAGAGGAACTCCTCCAAGAGAAGGAAATTGTTTGATCGTTGTTCAGTATCAGTTTGTGGTGGAGGGATTTATGATGAAGATGTGTCAAATTTATGTGAAAATGGTGGGATCAAATTAGAAACATATGATTCACAAGGCAATTTGTGTGAAGGTTTGTTACATATAAGTTATCGACATGCCCAGTCCACCTGCTATGATACCTTTGGATATTGAGACCTCATTTTTCTATCTTTACAGCAAATGGTGCATCATCAACCACAACTGGACAAAAGTCATGCTATGAATCACCAGAATACCATGGTAAAATCTTGGCTGAGTACATTGTACTTTTATGATGATTACATGCCATTAGTACTTTTATTCGACCTTGGCATTAGTACGTTCTGATGGGTGCTATGCTTTCTTTCATGTTCCAGTGAAACTCAGCATTAAATCTTTTAAGGTGCCAGAACTTGTTATTGAGATTCCTGAAACTGCTACAGTTGGTTCCCTAAAGGTATATATAACCTTTTTGCATTATTTTTTAATATTTCTATCATGCAATATTGTTGTACTGCCAACGAAAGTATTCAGTGATTAGTTAGCATTTTTTTTAAAATAAGTACTTGATTAATGTTATAGGTTTGTTAAAACTAGTGCTTCAATTATAAAGGGACATTTTCATTTGTTCAATTTTAACCTGTCTTGGACATCTGATCCATAGACAACTCCATTTACTCCAGCATGAGCATGTCTGTATTAGATAAACAATACCTTTTTTTTTTTCCAAAAGTTGTGCTTTATTTCTGGGTGGTATATTAATGAAATTATCATGCAGAGGACAGTACTGGATGCTGTGACTGCAATCCTCGGGGGTGGACTGTGTGTCGGTGTTCTTCTTCAAGGAAAGAAGGTTAGAGATGACAACAAGACCTTGCACCAGGTTGGGATTTCTCATGGTGACAAACTGGATAACTTAGGGTTTACATTGGAGCCAAATCCTAGACAATCTCCAGCACCACTAACAAGTTCCGAAGACCCAAATTTTCTAAGTATTGGTTGTGCGCCTGAACCACTGGATAGGTAATTGAATCTTACAACCTTTTTTGCAACTTTATTAGTAGATATGTGCTCCGTAAAGTTTATCATTGTACCTTAGCATATCCTCATTAAGACCAATTCTGTTGGGAACACATGATTTGGCTCCTTTACACTGGTAAAACAAGAAGAATTTGTAATGGCGCAGCAATGAGATTTGATAAGCCAATATATATATTTTTTACATTTTAACTAAGAAATGGTTTTTGCCTCTGAAAATTGTTTTAAGTTAGTCATTAAATACCTTGTTATTTTTGTGCATTTTGTAGGATTTCCCCTGTAGCTCCTGCTGTGGTAGATCAAGGAGGGCCAGATGCCACTCAATTTCTACAGATCTGTCCAGAGAGTGATCATGATTCGGTTCCGTCTCCAACTGATGCCGCATCATCACTAGAAAAAACAAAAGCAAACTCGCTAGCACTGGTAGCTGTGCCACCCATGGATACTGAGGCACTGGCCATGGTTCCACTTCGTAACAAGCCCAAGCGTTCTGAAGCCACTCAACGCCGGGTTCGTAGGCCCTTCTCCGTTGCCGAAGTGGAAGCTCTGGTTCAGGCAGTCGAAAAACTCGGGACGGGAAGGTGTGTGGTCTGCTTTCAGTACACCAACATGTTAATATCTCACTTTCGCAGGCAGGCTTCCATACTGCTCTCTGTGTCTCCATTTCTGCAGGTGGCGAGATGTCAAACTCTGTGCCTTTGAGAATGCAAAGCACCGGACTTACGTAGATCTCAAGGTAATCCATGTGTTACAAACTCAATTGGTATTAGTGTCTTCACCATCACAATTTTAGAGCCAAACTATGCATGCTTGATCTCTCAACTGTCAGATACATGTGGTAGTGTTCTCGTTGGGAAGGATGGCCAACCTGACTGTGACAGTATTGCCTGTTCTTAAGACTTCAACGTTTAGACAATTCTCCACCTGCTCTTGTAGTCATACACAGGGAGTCAATAATTCGTTTGGATTGGTGGATCATGGTAGGAAAGTTAGCTATATCCATGTTCCGATAAAGATAGACTTGTCACTTGAGCGTGGTTGGTGGTGTTGACCTAGCAACATCTTTCCATTCTACCACCTCGTCGTGAGCTTATCACGGTGAATTTTTCTTGGTGGGTGCAGGACAAATGGAAGACGTTGGTGCACACAGCCAGGATTTCCCCGCAGCAGAGGAGGGGAGAACCAGTCCCTCAAGAGCTCTTGGACCGGGTGCTCTCAGCCCAGGCCTACTGGTCCCAGCAGCAAGCCAAGCTGCTGCTGAAACCACCGGCTTCAGCTGAGACTCGTCTGCTCCTCTAGTCCCACAGCCTCTCCTCTCCTATTCCACGAGGGGAGAAGCCAATCTACCCCTGTAAAGATCTCCCGAAACATTCAGAAAACAAAAAAACAAGGTACAAGTAGCTGACGAAGTTGTGTTATATTCACTCACACCATTCTTTCAAGCCACGGGTTCTTCTTCCTGTGTGAATTAAGAAGGAAAAGAGCTTTCTTGGGCGAAAAAGTCACAAATGGGTGTAAAAATATCTGATTGCAACCAGTGACACCCTCACCTGTTTAACTCGATTCTTTCTGTTCAATTGGACCAGTTTGGTTCTCTTTTTCTATTTACTGATTCTTTTCTTGTTTTCTTTTACATCGAAACATTTACTTCGTGTAACAACATGTGATTCATTTGATCCTGCAATACAAACATCATTCACTTTCTACTTCAAGTTGTTATCTCTTATCCAGACTCTGTTTCAAGTATTTCCAACACACGATTGTTTGTATTTGGCAAGAGGATGGTCACCTACCTGTTGAACGCATGCCAAGTGGGATCACAGCGATTAGATCCAACACAAGCAATGAATCATTTTGGCCCTTTACTGCTATGGGAGCATGTCAAAGTTTCTTATTCATTATTATTATTGTTATTATTATTATTTCTTGTTGAATTCTCTTACGAGAAGGTTCCGGGAGACACGGGACGAGATGCGGCCAAGCCTATTATGTGTTTGGTTTCATGGACTGTGTCCCATTACATTAGGACGACAACGACGATTTATCATCGACGATAAGTGAGTTTCATGTTTGATGTTAAAATTTTAAACCCTTTGCTCATAGTAAATAAGTGAGTTTGAAACATAACCATCGGATCAATATTTTATGTAGTAGGCTCACTTATAAAAATAAAAAATTAAACTTTTAAAAAATATCAACTAGCTCGATTGATAAGAACAGTCATAGTTGATACCAAAATGATGATAATGAATATTATCATCATCGAAAAATAAAAAATAAAAAATGTTAGCGATGAAGATGGACATCGGTTGCATGTGAGCATTGCCTCGTCCCAGCTTTGCAGCGGTACCTCCCCCTGCGATTGCATTGGCAGGCAGGCAATGGGAGTTGGCCTGAGATATTAATATGGTGTTGGAAGTGAAACGAGAGCCGACAAAAAGTTCACTCTTTTTCATTGAATGAGGGGATCTTTTTCTCTTGCAGCGGATAAGGAGGAAGCACATGGCGTTGGTCGAGGTGCAGAGCATGGAGGCAGCAGCCAAATTATCTCCCCCGCCCCACCACATGGAGGTGGAAGAAGGCATAGAAAAAGCTCATGGCTTGCCTCCACGGTTCCCTGCTGACTCGTGCACCCCGCCACTGTTCATCAGGACGTCTTCCACGAACACCAACGCCGCCCATTCCTCATCCTCTCCAACTTGTTTTTATCGCCTCCACAAATGTACAGATACATTTCTGTCTCTGTTTCGTGCTTCATCAGCAGCAGCAATAGTAGCAGTCGGGCATTTAAGACTGCATCCCTTTTGCCTCACGCCGTGCCACCGGCCTACTTCTACCCTACTCTCTCTCTTTCTCTCTCGAACTACTACACTACCTCGGTGGTGAATGACAGAGACGAGTCCATGTCTGAAGCCTTCCCTTCTCATGCAGACAGCCAAGTCAAAGCGAGCGTGTTAGATTTGCAGTCGAAGCATCGCCCGTCCTCTCCCTGTTTCTCCGATGTGGCCGACCGATTCAGTGCGCCTCCGTACCGATATGGCCCCCCGTCATATCCCCAATCACACATCAGCACCAATATTAATACAATCATATTAATCCATCTTCATCATTAAATATATTCCATATTATAATTATATATATATTTTTATCTATTTTTCTTGATGAGGTCGAAATTAGCAATGGCGGCAAGTGTCCCACCAACCACCGACGGTCCTATTTGCCAAAGGACCACTTGGTTCATGAACCCAATTACGTGGGTTCCATTTGCATGGAATCCAAATCCACCACCTTATAATCATTTAGCATTTTTATGATGCATATCCAATTTGAAAGAGGGAGAAGATGAATGATTGGATGCATGTGGTGAAGGAAGGACCTATCGATTGCAGCAATATATGAGATTGATGTCGCAACCACAAGCAATCTTACTCTTTTTCTTCCTCCCTTTCTCCACAAGCCATCTCGCGAACAACCGATCGTGATCGCCATTCCCATCATTTCGCTTCCGACCACATCGATCGAGTCTTAGTATCGAACGAGTCCATATATAGGTCTCGGGCCCCACCGAGTGGGTATCTCCCACGCGGTACTCCGTTCCTTTTTGCTCCCCCATCTTCACTGCCGTCACTCCGTTGTCTTAATCTTGGCAACACGACGAGCCTTACCATCTCTTACGCTCGCTGCCTCGCACTCGCTATTATTACTCGTCCTCCTCGCTCGCTTTTTAAGTATCCCACCTTCCTCCGCACTTCCTCCCCATGGCTTCGATCTGCAGCGCCGTGGCCGCGACGGTCGCCCTCGTCCTCGCGTCGTCCGCGCTCCTCGCCGACGCTCGCATCCCCGGCGTATACACCGGCGGCCAGTGGCAGAGCGCCCACGCCACCTTCTACGGTGGCAGCGATGCCTCCGGCACCATGGGTACGTACCTGCCCTCGCTCGATCTCTCCCCGCCACCCACCTGCATTTCGCCTGGTTCATGGGCTGGTTGTCGCAGGCGGGGCGTGTGGGTACGGGAACCTCTACAGCCAGGGGTACGGGGTGGAGACGGCGGCGCTGAGCACGGCGCTGTTCAACGACGGGCTCAGCTGTGGGGCGTGCTTTGAGATCAAGTGCGCGGACGATCCCCGGTGGTGCAAGGGCGGCAGCCCTTCCATCTTCATCACGGCCACCAACTTCTGCCCCCCCAACTACGCTCTCCCCTCCGATGACGGCGGCTGGTGCAACCCGCCCCGCCCTCACTTCGACCTCGCCATGCCCATGTTCCTCAAGATCGCCGAGTACCGCGCCGGCATTGTCCCCGTCTCCTACCGCAGGTACAGTCACGCACGCCCTCTCCTCCTCCTCCTCCTCCTCCTCCTCCCTCGCCTTCCTCTGGTACGCACTTGATCCATGAGAGCATTCAATGGTCCTTCGCTCTTCACCACATGACATGTTCTCCTACCGCACCACACCAAATCTGGCCCGCCCGTGACTCCTCTGCCTCTCTCTCTCTCTCTCTCTCGCACTAACGCGTCGCGAAACCGCGTGAATCATGGGAGACCGAGGGCGAGACTGCGGCACTTGCCCCCACGCACCCTTGACAGAACATGAATACCTCGGCCCACCGCCACTGTTCTGCCATGTTCCGCTGTCCCCCCGTTGTGGCGGTGCAGCGTCTCGAGCGTTTGGACGTCTTGATGTGATGCACACGCCACCAAACATTGCCGTTTCTTGTGCAGGGTGCCGTGCAGGAAGTCGGGCGGGATACGGTTCACCATCAACGGCTTCCAGTACTTCAACCTGGTGCTCATCACCAACGTGGCCGGCGCCGGCGACATCATCCGCGCCACCGTGAAGGGCTCCCGCACCGGGTGGATGCCCATGTCCCGCAACTGGGGCCAGAACTGGCAGTCCAACGCCGCCCTCGTCGGCCAGTCCCTCTCCTTCCGCGTCACCGGCAGCGACCACCGCACCTCCACCTCCTGGAACATCGCCCCCGCCACCTGGCAGTTCGGCCAGACCTTCTCCGGCAAGAACTTCCGGGTCTGAACCCTTCCAGCGTTCTCAGTCGGTCAGTCAGTCCGCCCGTCCTCATATTGCTACAAGAGGTGATGAAGAAGAAGGCGGCAAGACAGCAGTGTTGTCGTGCGGGTTCCTCCGTGTCGAGTCGAGTCGAGTGTTTTAAGGCCTGTAATGGTGTGTTAGCTAGTAGCGATGAAGGCAGCAGCTGAAGTGGCTGCAGACCAAAACGGAGCGTGTAGCCCGCAGCTGCTTAAAGACATCATCGTCCTATTTGTGATTGCAGTCTCATGAATGTGATAAGTCCTAAGCGGATGCGTCATTCTCCATTACCAACCATCCTCTGAGACCTATGGCACCTCACATGGTGGGGCGCATCCCAAGTCAATGAGGTTGCAGAAGCGACATGGAGGTTCCTGTACGAGCTGCGGAGCATATGAGGACGACCATGGCAGCGTCTCTCCATGAAGCTTCCTCTCGACATACCGCTCCCATGTTACTTTTCTCCCCACAACCTCTGCCGCTGCCACATGCTTTTCCCTCCACCCATTATGAAGCTTTATAGCAGCAGCAGCAGCAGCAGATTCGCAAGTGTTCTCGGAACAAGTGAAATAATGTCCATGGCAGGACACGGTGACCCATAGAACCCATTGCAAGTGACTCCCTCATACAAGTAATTAGAGATTTGTAATGAATATAAATTATTGCATTGCAAAGAACTAATCGAAGAAAACAAGAAAATATAAAAAAGAGGAATGTAAATTGATGAGGGTAATAATGGCAACATGACGTGCCTTGACGTCAGTCACGCTTGGACGACACTCTGCCCAAGGAGGAGGGTAATAATGTCGAATCGATGTGCGCCGACGTCACCCGCTCTCAGACAATGACTTCATCATTGCCTGACCCCGCACACTTGGCCGAGGCAGAGGAGGACGACGACCGAGGCTCACCCATACCCTACGACAGTTCGGTTCTCCACGCAACGCCAACGGCAATGTCAGACGCCATCAAAGGTACGGTCCTGCTCCTGCAAGCAGGCACATCAGGTAACACTAAACTTACCTATAAATACCCCAAAGTTCTAAATGAATGAGGGGGGCACTTTTTCATACAAAAATTCCCTCCGCATCCACTAACTTGATCGTCGGAGGGGTCGGCCCGAGCTTTCGGCCCGACCTGTGTGCAGGTGTAGGAACGGGGTCGCCTCTTCCCGGTGCTGCGGCAAAAGCTTTCCTCCCGACGCGACATCCCAACCAGACCGCCGTAATCAGCCACCGAGAGATCTCGAGGGACACTGCGTGAGATCCCCGTCATTCGAACCCCCAACCAAGCCGCGTCGGCTCCGAGGTCACGGCATAAAGTTGTTTACACTAACATAAATCGACAAAAATCGAGACATAATGTTTCGTACAATTGATAGGTGGATCGGCCCAGTCGCGGGGATCGTGACGCCAGAGCGGGCCGGAGCTCTTGCCGTCCCTAAGCCGGCCGCAAAGGATCCGATCAAATCGGTGCACAAATCGTAAAGCGTGATTAACGCTGATGCAATCCATCGCAGAGGTTCTTGGATGCATGCGGTGCCCATTTGCTGGATCGTGACGGTAGAGCGGGCCGGATCTCTTGCCGTCCGTATGCTGGCCGCAACGGATCCGATCAAATCGGTGCACACATCGTGAAGCGTGATTAACGCGGATGCTATATACAGAGGAGGTCCTCGGATGCGGTGCTGCTTGATAACAACCGCCGCGATCATTTCCTGAAACCCGTTCGCTCTCTCTTGTCGGGTGTCGCCGCGGCCGGAAGGGGCGAGAGGGCGATCCCGTCGTGAGGTGGAGAAGGTCCGCGAGGGGCGATGTTCGCCCAGTTCGGGGCGACGGCGGAGAGCCTGAGCAAGGCGTCGTCGCTGGTGCTCCGCATCGGCACCGACGCGCACCTCTACGACGACCCCGACGACGTCAGCATCGGCCCCCTTCTCGACAGCCGCTACGACTCGGAGAAGGTCGACGCCCTCAAGCGCCTTCTGGCCCTCATCGCCCAGGGCGCCGACGTCTCCCACTTCTTCCCCCAGGTCTGGATCCACTCGACTCTGCTCTCCATCCCTTCTCCTCCTCCTCAACTCCTCTTTTGTCAATCGTTTCTTGGGAATTGATGTCGATGAATTCCTCGGGTGTTTGACTTCTTTAGGTCGTCAAGAACGTCGCGTCGCAGTCGCTGGAGGTTAAGAAGCTCGTGTATCTCTACCTGCTTCATTACGCCGAGAAGTACGTCTGCTCTCCCTCTCTACGCTACTGTTCTTGAGAATCTTTGCCTGGGTGTTCAAAAAATGACCTCCAGAAGGGACTGGATTCGGGGAAACCAGAACCCTAATGGGAGATGTTTGTTGTTTTCTCATGTTTCTCGAATAGGTTTACTTGTGTTGTTCGTTTCTCTTCTTATCTTGTGCCATATCAAAATGAATCGAATTGTTGTACTAGAATTGGTGGTGACGGAATTGCATCTCAGCCTTCCTTTTTCTCCCCTTCTTGAATCGTCCAAACGTGAGGAGTATGACCATATTTCAATTGGTTATGATGGATGTGTAATGTCTTCACCCTCCCTATCCTTTGTTCTTAATGTCTTGACGAGTACCTCTCTCGAATTGAATTAATTTCTTATGATTCTAGAGAACCTTCATGCTTCCCATTTTTCCCTTAGGGAAGTGGAGTCTATAGTACGGGGTGAACGAAATCAAGTCAAGAGTCGCCTAAATCCAGGAAAAAGGACCAGAGTGACTGCCAAATAAGTTTTGGGATGCGAGTTGTAAGCCCGACCAAGAAGGGATGACATTGTCTTTGATTGGCCACTGACGTAGGACATCAACTATTCCTTGGGTTACTGACTCGTAATCCCCAATTTGTTAATATTATTTATCAAGACTGGTGTATGTTGATAGGTGTGTGGCTTCCGGAATACAGTTTCAAGCTAAAAAGGGCTCCAATTTTAGGTAGCGACAGATGATGCCTCTGTTGGTAGCCTTAAATCTTGACAGTGACTTATTTAAGAGTGAATGCTTAGTCATATCTGAGAGAAAATTATGGCTATAGAATCTTATTAGTCCCATTCTAAGCTCATATTAGCCAGGAGAATGCCTTTGAACTTTACCTAGCCTTGGGAAAATTTCAGCCGAAAGATAGACTCTTGTAGTACATTTTCGTGCTTGCAGAATATCACAGATAGACTCTTGTAGTACATTTTCGTGCTTGCAGAATATCACTGTTAAAACTCTCTGGCATGATGTCAAGCCAAAGTTGGGCATTCATTGTCCTATTTTCTCTAAAAAGAAGTGTGAGGAAGGATAGGAACTTCTTGAGTTTTTGTCATTGGAGTTCTTTCTATTTAGTATAACATTTAATGGATGCTTAACTTCTTTTCCTTACCGTGGACATATTGAAATTCTTTTGCCACTGAATATACATAGCATATTTGTACTATTCTCTTAATTTACCATTGTCTTTTGACATTTACATTGGGAGTGAATATCTCTGTGTGTAACGATGTCCTTCCACCTCCCTTCCTTTTTCTTGGCTTCTTTTTTGTCTGCCTTTTCCCCAGATATGAATGGCATGATGTTGATGCAGCATTCACCAACTTTTTCCATTTAAATCTTTTCTTGGTTCTCATTAGGCGACAGAATGAAGCTCTCCTGTCTATCAACTGTTTTCAGAAGGACTTATCAGATACAAATCCTTTGGTCCGTGCATGGGCCCTTCGTGCTATGGCAGGAATCCGTTTACATGCAGTTGCACCACTTGTCTTAGCAGCTATTAGTAAGTGTGCAAGAGATCCATCTGCCTATGTCAGAAAAGGTGCTGCCTATGCACTTCCAAAGTTATATGATCTGCACCATGATGAGGACAGCACTGCTCTTGAGGAGGTCAGCTCACTCTGTGCCCTCTACTCACAGAAGTGACATGAAATGAACAAAAAAGATTTATATCATCAGATTTGATCATGGGGATAGCTGATTCTTCTATGTTTTTTTGCAGCTTGTAGATATCTTGTTAAGCGATCATTCCCCTGGAGTTGTTGGGGCTGCTGCTGCAGCCTTTAAATCTGTTTGTCCAACCAGTCTATATTTGATTGCTAAAAGTTTTAGAAGGTTATGTGAGACACTCCCAGACATCGAAGAGTGGGGCCAGATTGTTCTAATTGAGATTCTTTTAAGATATGTCATAGCGAGACATGGACTTGTCAAAGAGTCCATTATGTTTAGTTCAAATTCAGCGTCACATTCGCAAGCTGATGAGAATTTTGCAACTTCCGGTGATATGTTGGATCACCATCATTATCATCACTCTGTGGTGGACATGGCATGCGATTCCAATATGGTTACTGTAATGTACAAAAGTTACATAGAAGGACAAAAGGAGAGTTTTACCCAGGCTGGATGCGCAAAAGGAGATGATGATAAGTTGGACCTTCCTCCTCTAACATCCAGCACAAATGATGATGTCGACATTCTCTTGCGGTGTACATCACCTCTACTATGGAGTCATAATAGTGCAGTTGTACTTGCAGCTGCAGGGGTTCATTGGATTATAGCCCCGAGGAAGGAAATGGAGAGGATTATCAAGCCCATTTTGTTTATTCTAAGATCATCTCAAGCCTCCAAATATGTGGCAAGTCATGACTTTTTATAAAAAGATTATTCTTAGTGCTTAGATGCTTTAGCTAAATTGGCTTGACCTAGCATCTCATTTTTAAGTATATTTTAGTTAATAAATGCAGCATCACATGAATTGTCATATATTCTTTATTTAGCATTAATGTCAAATGTCAATTGTTTATGGCATTGATTGGCTCTGGCTTTAAACTTACATAAAACAGTCAACCTGATTGAAGATAATGAAACTCTAATTGGATTATTGAGATTTATTATGGATTTTCATCTTCCAAAGTGATCTTATAATAATGTAACAACATTAAGTGATTAAGCTATTTGCCTCTTCAATGTAAATGTAGATTTTCCCATGAAGGAAATCTAACATCTAGAATTTGTATATATCTTCAATACTAGTTAGAACTATCATCTTGTGGCTTTCCTCTTTCCCCTAATGTTGGAACAAAATATGCTTGCCATCTTTTGCTAGGAAGATTGGTCCTTTTTTGACACTGGCACCAAGATGATATTTTCATCTCTCGTTTTAGTCTGTTTATAAATCAAGTTATAGCGAACACGCTTATTACTTTGTTGCCTTTCCGGCACACCTGATGTCAATTGCACATTCTCATCCCGGCTATACGAATCTTTTTTATGTTCTTTCCTACTTCCAACATTCTTTTCTTCATAAAGTACAACTCATCTCTAAGTTCTTAACTTCTTCTAATGTTCTTCTAATTTTAAGTCCATTTTATACATTCAAGGATCAATATCACAATATTTTTATTTTAAAATGGTGATTCATTATCACATTTCTAAGAACCTGGTAAAATAAAATGATATGGCTAAATGACCTGGTTTCTGTAGTCTAGTTCAGCCATTATCTTTCAGTACCAGCTATTTCTTTCATCATTTATGACATGAATTCTTGAACATGCTTTAGATAAATACAATTGGCACATGTAGGCCACGGGTATCATAATTCCTATCAATTTATCAAACCAAAACGATTGTTCTGTCATGGCTTAAGTGGCCATTTGACCTTATGCTCCAGGGCTAATTTTTGAATCTTTGATGGAATATGAGGCAGACTGATTTATTACTCTGTTGTTTGTTGCAGATTCTCTGTAACATATTAGTGTTTGCCAAAGCAGATCCATCATTGTTTTCCCTGAATTATGAAGACTTTTTTGTATTTAGCTCTGATTCATACCAAATCAAGGTCTTGAAGCTTGAGATATTATCCACTATTGCAACAAAATCTTCGCTACCAATCATTCTGGAGGAATTTCAGGTTATCTTTTAGCTTCATGTATCATATCCTTTGTTATACTATGTCCCTTCTGTGTGTAATCTCAACATTTATTCTAAACATTTGTATCAAGAAATAAAAAAAAGCATTTTTAAGCTCTATGTGTTATATATATATATATATATATATGTATATATGTATATATGTATATATGTATATATGTATATATGTATATATGTATATATGTATATATGTATATATGTATATATGTATATATGTATATATATGTATATATGTATATATATGTATGTATATATGTATATATATATATATGTATATATGTATGTATGTATGTATGTATGTATATATATAAGAATAATTAATTAGATAT